ATTATTAAAAGTCAAAGGGCTTTAAAGCAGTGCAATCATTTTGAAATTTTTATCATTTACTTATTATGCTTCATTAAGTACTTATACAAAATTTTATTAAAATAAAACCATTTAAACTGGGTGTTCGGATTTATATGTCACTTAGTATATAATCATAATGTTGCCAAAAAAACAAGTTGAGGACATTGTTTTTTTCTAGGTGTAACACTTCTAATGTCACTGAGTATATTAACCTTAAGGGATATGTATACAAAATATTGTTGTAGAAGCTGCATTATTGCTGCGTAGTTCATAATTCGAGAGGCTCTATTCTTTAAATAAGTTCCCTCTCGTGTATAACTATTTGCAGCCAGTACCGAATGAATCTAGTTGACACAGCTCCATGTTTGTGATTTACGGGAACTTCTTGCCGTCTATCATAATCTAATATTATCTACTTTGTATATGTGCAATCATTGGATTGCACAACGTTTAACAATCCAGTCAAGACGTGCGTCGTGAAGGACTTTTCATTTGACCCGTAAAATCGATACGATCATTTCATGAAATTTCTCTTATCTTACTAGTTTGGAACTACGCAGTTCGAGTTATGACTTGAAATAGTTCTATACAATGTAGAAAGAAATTCGGCGTTAAATATTTTCTCGCCACCTGGATTCGACTCGCTTGAAAAATTTTTGTCAGAGTTCCGAGTAAAGTTGGTTTGAACGTTTCGAGTAAAATCCGTAAAAAAAACTGCAATCCACTCTACTTTGAAATTGAGTGAAGTTAGCGGAGTTTCAATTAAAATATTGTATTTAATCACTGATTACGTATCCTATCTGAAGATATACAACCTAATACTTTATTCGTAGATAGTGACATTGGAATTCGGTAGACTAAGCGGAAAAATCGGTAGAAGAAAAAATCGGGAGCACTGTAAGATCAGCGATCAGCGGTAGAACAAATGCCTTTGCGTCACGCAGTGTCGTCTATGTGAGAAAGCATATTTTTGTATTTCACACACACACACACACACACACACACACACACACACACACTACCTGACAAAATATTAACTCTTCAAAACTTGTACAATGAGTATACTGGTTGCTCTTCAAACTGCTTTGCAACCATCTTTTTCCGTTCTCGTTTATATCACCTGACATTTTAATTTAATATTCGATTATTAAAAACTCACGAGCTTTTCTTTATTGCTTGTCCGGTAATGACGTAATGACAGTGATCTACCAGTCTGTACCTCTCGTGCTCACAAAAACCAAGCCAGGGAATGCGGAGTAACGGATATATTTATATGCGTCTGTTTCGTTTTCGATGCGCCACCCTTTATATTTAAATGTAGATAACTCAGATCTACGTCTCTCGTGTGGCTGAGGACCTGGGTGTACGCATATGTATGATTTTTATGGGACATACAACTACATAGATTTTCGACATCATTCATTTTTTAGCTTTATTTTTTGGTACCAGCCCATTTTCGGCAAAAGATCTGGAAACCTCTTTATTATTTTAAAAAATCGTGGGAAATGACGACGTTTTCAGTATTTCCAGAAATACCGAAAAATCGATAGGTTCGGCAACACTGTCTACCATTAAAATCGACTACTGCCAGTGTTGCCAGGGCTACCGATCTTTCCGTAGATCTACGGATTGTAGTGCTACTCTACCGAACTATCGATTTACTTTCAAATTATCAAATATCGATTTAATTAGACGAAACACGAAAAATGAGCCATTTAACCTCCCGCCTCGCTTTTCAATTTATGATCAGTGTAATTTAACGCAACAATTTTTCAAAAAGCAGCATTTCACGACGTAATGCTCATCCATTTTGAAAACCATGTTTCTTCTTCTTTTTGCTCTATTGAAAACTTGTACGATATTCTGCAAAATGCCGCGCAAATCTACTGAGAACATATAGCAACGGTATAGATCTCAGTCCACGAATTTGAGGCCCAGTCACCAGGAGACCGCTAGATGGCTAATGAGTTTGGCTGTAAAGCAGATGTGGTCTACTTGCCCTTGAGCACAATAAATATAATCTGCTTTCGTCCGTTCGTCCAAAAACAGCTCTTATTATCGACGGCAGTTTCGTGTTCTACGAGATTGATAAAATATAATTTTTGATTTTAGTATATTACTTTCCTAATTATAATTGGAAGTATGCTAATTTTATTCATTTATATAACAAGCATCGCTTCAAATGAGGAATTCAAATCAAGAATACCAACAACAATATGCATTACTAACATAACTATAGGTATAATTATCTCATCCGTTTTCTTTGAAACCTCAACGAAGCCGTAGGAAGTATAGAGTCAATCTACTTGACGCCGTTTCTTAAGACGACTCATCGATTGTTTAATAAGACAAGACGAAGGCTATGAATGAAATTTCAATGAGACAAGCACTACCATGAATCACTGCGTTGATAAAAGTTATTTACTACTCGTACAAAGTGTTCATAGTGGGTGCTTGGTCGTACAGAATCACGGATACTGCCAATATTTTATGAATAACTCGGCAGATAACGGTCCATTCATGATTTCGGCAAATATTTACTTTCATTACAATAGCTGCGAAAAAATTCAAGTTAGCTGGTGTAACTATGAGGTACGATTTGTAAACGTTAAAAATGTTACGTTAGTCCAAAGCGTCTGACGCAACTTTAAAAAAAATTCACCGACTCGCCGCCGCGATCATCTTGACGAGCGTGTCTACATTGTTGGATTATCACGTTTGCTGATATTCATAAATGCACAGACGATGCTTCATTTGTATTATTGATCTTGGAACTTTGCATAAGTAGCAATTAAAATTTCATTTTTGTATTCTAGGTTTATCTAGATTTTTTTAAATCTTCTAGCCAGATATATTTATTATACTTAGAAATCTTACTGGAAATTATACATTCTGTATCAGAGGAACTTGTAATAAACAGGGTGTTCAAAGTAATGTATCGGCATGTTAAGAACCATCAAAAAAATCGATAAAACTTTTACACATATACTTTTTAGGCAATACATGATGGTGTTTTTCAGCTTTAGATCCGAAGCGACGGTTCCTTTTTAAGAAACCAGCGTCAAGTTTATTTTTTATATGACACTATTAAAGACTGGTACAACTGATGGAACCAAAGACTCATACTGAAAACCATAACGAAAAGTTTGCCAAATTTAGATAAACGATAAGAGAAGTAAACAAAAAACGCTAAGATTTTACAAGGCAATGGTTCGGAATATCAAAAAATCTGTGTAATACCATTGTTATTTTTTGAAAATTTTACTGTTTATTTTATTATAATATATAGGTGATTTTTGGTATAACAACTCCTATTGACAAGTCCTACAATCGCTTAAACTTAACTTAACTTTGAAAACACCCTATATCGTAAGGTTCTTTATAATCTGAGACGAACCTGTTGCAGTTCATCTTAAGACAACGGAAAATTTAACTTGCACCATTGTCTCATATCTATCGACAGAAAAATGTTGCTGTCAATGTTGTCTGATGCGTTTGTGCTGACCCTATTCCATAAACATATCTGAATACATTTTTAAGACAGAATATCAAAAAAGTTCAAACGTGATATCTCTAACTTAACCTCTTCCTACATTTATCAACCACGATGCTTTCTGTGACAGTCCCATCATTTTGTCATGAGAACGTATGATCTGGCAGCAATTTCGATAACGCTCATTAATTGATGCTAGCATTTGATAATTTTTTCACATTCCCAAGAAATAATTAAGAAATTAACTAATTTGCAGACATGATAATGAAAACATTGTGGGGTTTTGTTTATAAATAGGAATTTGGATATGGATTCATTAATTATATATCATAAATTTAACAGACGATTCTTTGAGTAGTATTAAAAAGTTCACATAAATTCTTCGTTCTCAAGATACAGGGTGTAAGAATTTAAAAAAGTTTCTTCTTAAATTTCTTAAATACACTTTATCTAATTTTGATGTATTTTCGCGGTGATATTTATAACATTAAGGAGCTATTTTAGCCCTAACTGGATTATATTTATTAAATCCAGTGGCGTCTAGAGCGGGATCTGAACGAATATTTGTGACAAAAAATGTACGCCACTGGTTTTTATGCATTTTTTATAACGATCTTTGAATTAAGCAAATAGAAATATAACTTTTTGGCTGTTGAATTGTTTTTGAATATTGCTTAGTTTTCTCTTCTTGGAGTAGAAAAATCGAAAATAAGAAAATGCGTTAGATCGTTCAATGTTGGTTTGAAATATTTGGCGTCGGTTTAGCACTTTAAATGTTTTTCCAAATGTGTTTTTTAACAAAAAGTACAGAAAATTAGAATAGCTCAGTATATTACTTTTCAATTCGGAAAAAATTTTCTAATAAATTCCAATTTCTAATACTTCTTCTCTGAAAAATCATGCTTTCTCTCTCAGAAATACTAGATGTAAATACAAACAGGCCCAATTTGAACGAATTTTAAAACCTCACTATTCTTTCGCTGTCCGCTTTATGTGAAATGACAAAGTTTTTCAAGATGGTCCAGAATCAATCTACTTGACGCCATTTTTTTCTGGGATATGGGAGATTGTATCTTTATCGTTACAGAGCTTTTGTCTATTAGATTTTCCCTTCGCCGTCTATCATAGTAGATACGAAAAGTAATTAATCAAAAACGTGGAAATCTAAATCGTTGAACTTTCATTTTACATTGCTGATAGGATACAATTTTTGGACACGTGGGATCGTAACGATGTGCGATTTGATAAAAGAACGAATTATATCCGTTAAAAAATTACTTAATCTTGATGAGGTTATTGGCATGGTAAAAGTAGACCATATCGATATGTCAAGGAACAAAAATATCCAAGGGGGGAGCGTCACATTTTGATCGTATTAAAACTTTATTTCGAAGTTGACGTAGTATACACACATTTCTCAAAGTCGACAAGCCTTGCTCACTAGTCTTTCTGCAGCTGCAGAATTCAGATTTCTCTTTTTTTTCAGCAACCAAAGAAAAAGCAAGAATTGACCAGCATTTCCCAGTTCGAAAGAGTTAACCCGCACGACATGGACTACTATCATACGAGAGAAGCATTGATTTCAGTCAAAACATGGAGGCATCGAAACAAGAGATACACAAGCTGTAAGCACCGTTTTTTTATTCGAATAATTGTAACCTTTAATTGTGGTTGCTTTGACATACTAAGCAAAACAGGCACAGTCAAGTTTAACATTGTTTTTCTCTGCTTACGAGCTTTAAACTTTACTTGAATCACGGGTCAATTGAGGGCAGATAAAGTAGCTACTACCTAAAGTTGTTTCGTAATATCTCTAAGATCATATTTACTTGATAATAATGATTGCTCCCGTGCTCCAACACTTGCTGACGATGCAATTAGGCGGCCAACTTTGAATAACGGCAACAATTACATAATCTTGTCGATTAAATTACTAATTCCTGAACTTAGTAGATGTTACGTATTCCGTTTATAGCTGTTAGTTCATTATTGTGGAGTTTAACACTTGCACGGTCTCCTATTTGTTACATAAATCCCGATTATTTACCTTGTATACCCACATCCCTTACATCTGGAAAGTTCAAGATAATTCTAGATGAATGAAAATTCGAAAAATATACAGTTCAAAAATAATTGAAAAAATCCTCGCTGTTTTTAGAAACAAGATATGTTATATTACTCCTATTCAGAATAGATCCATGTTACATCAAGTTTGTGAAAAATACGTTCTATGAACATTGAACATTAGGTGGTTTTTAATACATTTTTTTTATACCAGATACCAATAATGATGGAATTAATAGAAAAAGGATAGCAAGCGCTCATGGTCCGATAAACAGGCTCAGACACAGTTCAGGTGAGCTTAAAAAATGTTTTAAACTACGACTCCTTATATCAGTTGTCAATTTTTGGGACTGACATGTTTTGGGTCCCACATTTTCCCAAAATTTCGACTTCAGATTCGTGTTCAGACGGAAACAAATGGAAAAAATATAGCAAGACTCCACACACCACTTATTTTTTTTGTATATGTGGATCGTTTTATGCGTTTTCTCCAACGATTTGAATACCGAGCCCCAATTTTGACTTTGGATTCGTGTTCAACGTGAAAAATTACATGAGAGAAATATAGTTTGAGTCCAAGCACACACCTTTTTTTTGTATTTTGTGTGCGTTATCATTAAAATAGGAAAACTGTACTGACATTAGTCTATTAGATAAACAAGATGTCTTTATATTCTTTACGGTAGGCAGTAAGGCTCTGCTTTGCGACTATTCCAATATAAAAAATCACTTACCGAATAGGGAACAATCTGAAGCCCAGCTTAGATAACAATCAGCTATGAAACTATCATGTCTGTGTCAAAATTCTTCTAGTACATAAAAGAGGTTTCAGTATTCAGCAGTAGCGAGTATTATGTCAGCGGCCACAGACATTCTTTGCAATCTTAAAATGATAATATTTTGATATATGCAGTTTGTGTGGATCAGTAATAAAAAGGAGTATGTTTGTCTCTGACAGGATAGTTTCATAGCTGATTGTTATCTAAGCCGTGTCCGAATTACACAAAACGACAGCTGAAAATGTCAAAGTAACCGTAACTGGTGGCTTCGACCCCCGCGGATTCAACGAAGCCACTTTTCTTCTCGGTTTTAACGATGACAATTTGTTGCAGACATCGCGCTGTGTCCATTCAAAGTGTGCTACATGGGTCGCAAAAGGCTGACATCTAGAAGATTTTCCAGGAAGATAGCACTAGGCTAACGGACGAGATCGAAGACGCGTAGGTTGTAGTATGACGAGACGCGTGTCGGCTGACGTTTATTATTATTTGTTTTTCGCATCGCTGAAATCTACATGACGTCCTAAGACTTACTTCAGATGACGCGCGTCGACTTGGCGCGGCTTCCATGGGTCCGTGTTCAGATGGCAAAGGGTTGTTAAATCAAGAAAAAATGCTTCGTAGGAAATCCAAATATTTCATTGATCTTTGCCAGGTTGTATTTCTGTAAAAAATGGTCGTATCTAGACCTGAAGAAGGCATTTTGAAGCTTTAAGATCCAGATTTTTATTTTTTTTGAACAAAAAATTAAAGGAGCAACAGTTCAATTCATGCAATTCCTACAAATAGCGCAAGGAAATTTTTTTAACAAATGTTTCCTTATCTTTTTAGTCCATGGTCTTAGTAAATTGTGTGGTCGGTTTAACAATTTCTTACATAACATTCTGAAAATCACATCATCTGAAGTGATTTGGCAACGTTGGCACATTGACACATGCCCACAATTCGTTCCATCTTTCAACACAGACATTGACAACCTTCGGCCTTCTGTCAAAGGGTTCATCTCACTCATTAATCTGTTTTCAACTTGTTCTTGTCATATTTTATATAATTTTGACCATTGTACCATCTATCCAGCTCTCACCATGTTACTGGACGTTTCCCTCATCCTATACGTAAACAACAATTAGCAACATCCTCACATACTACTGTAAGTTGAGTCAATTTAAATTCATTTTACACTTTTGTTGCTACTGTTATCATTGTAATTGCAGCTCCTGATGATGATGGCAAAGTCCATTGAAAGCTAGAGAGAATTAAAAAAGTATAAAGAGTCCTCTTTGCTTAAATTTTGTCGAAGTACCCAACAAAAGGCGGAAGCTTTAATTTTTCACCTAACTGGTCTAGACGACAATGACCACGTCTCAAGTTATATATATATATATATATTTGTTCAGCATCAAAATACGTAATATTTGACTAGTTTGTAACATTTCATATCAGTACGCGATGTAACCGAAACTTTACGGTCGGCTCTTGGACTATTATTAGCTTATGTGCGGAACGTCCTTGGCTATAGACGCGGTGTTGCCAAGCTTTAAAAAATATTTATAAAACGCTACATTTATACTAAGCAAGATAGAATGAGCTCTTTTCTTCTGTCTTCTGTTTATTTAACTACTCTTACCTAATCGAGTAACAATTTATTGTATTTAATCAATGATAGTGAATGTGAAAGAAACTATTTGTGCTTGGTTGACACACAGCCTTTAAAAATATGAGCCGAGTTTTTTAAACAACTTCAGATTGTCAATAAAATTGTTGGATGGCGGCATATAATGATTGTGATTTCTGTCCTTGTAGTAATCAATAATTATGAGAGAAGCGTTTAGAACAAACCTACCAAATATTTTTTTTCTTCGGTATCTTATTTGCAAAAAATTGGGAAGATCGACGCGCGTATTGACATATATTTTCTGACATAGGCTTCCATGTGATCAGCTAGTGTTAATTTTGTGTATTTTCAAAGCGAGCGTCAAGCGAACGCGGGTCATCTGAAGGCGCTATGGAATTAGCAACAATTCTTACAACTTCAAGATGTCAGATCAGAACCTGTTAGGCTAATGTCACACGATTTGTATTTACTGTGGCCCGTACCATCAGTATTTACTGATCCTCAAGTGTCAGTGGATTTTTATGTAACTTTAAGCCCGTAAATCCTGATCGTGTGACTTTCGCGTTGGTTAAGAAATACAAATCTTGTGAATCGAGTAATTGGACAGGAAATCGCTGAGAGTCAAAATCTGTATCATTAATTGAATAAATTGATTGACGCATAAAGGTCCTCGCCCATTGCATCGTTTCATGGTAGGATCAGCATAAGCGAAATTTTGTTGGTTCCGCCACGCGCTGTATATAAACAGCCTTGCCTTTTTCTATGGCACTTAAGGGAAAAGTTAAAAGTACAGACGTTGTAGTCACAACTCAAGCAAATTTAGGCTAGAAATGAAGTTTATCTTTAATTAATAATAGTATGCTACCTTATAGTGGAGGAGGGCCTTAAACATTTGAAATATGGATGACTCTCACGTTTAGCACGGCAATAACGTCAATTTTGTCTTTGAACTCTAGTCTAAGTGAATTTAATAGTAGCATGGTCCTTAATGTCACAGACTTTTGTGTTCCACTTTTGCATAGTATTTTCGAAAAATACCAAGAAATTGAAACGACACGATTCTCATATCGCGGATATAATTTTAATACTTTTGAGTGCTACTAAAACTAAATTCACTTGACCGATGGTGCATCATTACAGAATCGTCAACATGACTTATCAGAAATCTATCTTTGGATAGCACGACATTTTATCCACTGGGTAACAAGTTGATATTTATCGTAATGATATTAACAGCTTGTCTTGTTTTAGCGCTCGTGCCATACAAAATATCTGATAAGTTATTCTAAGATGTATAGGCAATTCAAATAATCGTTATCACCATCATCGTCATCACACATTTTTTATGTTGTACTTTTTTCCATCAAATGTATGAACGTCTTTCTGCAATACATTTTGCGTGCATGTACTTACCATTTTTTATTTATTATTATTTATTTTTTGATCCTCGAATAAGGTAAATGTGATAAGACTTAAATATATGCTTTTTTGTAGAGTCCAGTATTTCTGTAATCTACCTCAAGCTTCCCAAAAATGTAATCGACGAAGAATTAATAGGCTAGTTGACACTTCTTTTAAGCAGGTCTTAAATAGTCAATATTTGTTCTATTCCAAGAAAATACATATTTTTTCAGATCTGAAATAGCGTAAAACTTGCCAATATTTCTAGGGTAAAAACTACATTAAAAAATAACAAACAAAGCTCTTATAAGTATGTGTCCAACGATGCACGCTTACCGAGATACAGAGTAATGAAAATTTATTTACGAAATCTAAAAAATATGTCTACGGAGCGGATAAAGATAAGTATATTACTTTATTCTTTCTTTTTATGTCTATCATTATATCAGATGTAGTGTACTTACATAGAGTCTTGATGGCCCTCAGATCAGTAGAGCAGACATTTGGGTTGAAGACAGAAAATTACCATCATCTGCTTTTACGAATGCAACGTCCACGATTCTTTTTTTCAATGAAATAAGAAAACGATAACTTTCTACGTAGATTAAGAGTTTTTTTTAGAAATACATATTTACAGAAGACGACGTGTGACATATGGATGACGTTCCTTCCTTTACTATTTGTATGATGTCCCATCTTGGCCGATAGTGTTTTTCGCCGTTTCGGATTGAAAATAAAAACTATGTTTATTTCAAATTAGGCTTATATATTCTTCTTGCGCTTTAAAAAAGGAAATCAATATATTTCGTTTTCCTAAGGCAAATACTGTAACAAATACTCATTTATTCTATTATCAGAACGCATTATAGACCTGAGGTGCATTTCCGAGAGCTTGTTTGTAAAAAAAAAACAAATTCTTTTCTCTTTTTTCAATTGAATTACTAAGAACTGACATTAAAAATAACATATATCGACAGATATTGTAAACTTAATTTTATTCTAAAATCTCGCAAATTCTCGCTTGCCTCTTGAAACAACATTTTCTTTATCATCCGGGAAAAACTCGAGCAAATGAATCCAATCACTGTAAGCCAAAGTAAGTATTTCCGCTCTCTTCGAAATAACTCTGTAGGAAAAATGCTGCACCGTTTCTAAATTGAGCCCCTGCAGAACTCCAAATGAATCGTTTTTCCGTAAAACGACGTGGTGGGCTTCTGACAGGTCGGAAAATTTATTAAACACCGTTATCTCCCCTTCGTAGATGAAGTACATTTTCGAGTAGAAGTCTTTTTGTTTCAGGACGTAGTCGTTTTCGAAGTATACTGCTCTATGTAGTCTGGAGCAGATCTGACGTAATAGTTCTATACTGGTATCCTAAAATAATAATAAAAATGGATATATACTTTCCCCACCCCCTTCAACCCACACTCCTCAATTTTTCACCCCTTAAATTTGTTTCCAAAATTATCAGGATCCTCTCACTTTCTAATTTTTTGCGGTTACAATACTTCATCGCCTGCGGCGTAGGAAGTAAAATAATTGATGGATTCGTGAATTAAATTCTTTGAATGTTTTAGGCGCAAGTTACCTTGAAGATGAACAATTGTCTAAGAGGTTCATGATACAAACTGAACATGATGTCACATTTCAGGCTGTAAGGCAATATTTCCAAAAGATAGGGCACGTTTTCACCTTTTTCATATCTCCATAGTTTTTCTAAATATACTTCTGTTTTGTGTAGAATAAATCCTGTAAGGTCAATACAAACAACGAGGAATCTGCATACGTTTGTACATACAAAAATTACCTGATATTCCATTATTTTTGGATTGCTCCAATAGCAACCGAGTCTTGTTACCGTAGTCCATGAATGGAATGCCATAAGTCAGCAAGACCCTCAACATTTCGCCTACAAGAGCAAAAATCAATCACGCAAGAAATTAAACTGCATTTTCAAAACATATACCTATCCATACTGCTACCATAACTTTTCCTAGCAAAACAGACATCGAGCTAAAGCATATTTCAAACCAACGTTTCCTGACAATACTTCCAATATCTGTCGTTGTCATCAGTGTTATGACGTACAGGTATGTCAATAACATTTTGTTTTGAAGAGTAATTTCAGTACTAGTACCACTGGAAAGAAAATATTCAAATTACAAAAAAAGCTCCATTTATTCCTTCTACTGGTTGTGCATTTAGTGGTGTTTCACGGACAAATCAGAATAAAATTTTCTTGAGAATTTTACAAGTAAGAATTGCCATTTATACCTGATTGATTGCATCCACGATTCTGATAGACAGCTTCCAAAAGGGCAAGCTGCAAACAAAAATACACAGGCCATAAAATGACAGCACAAAATGCTGTATACCATAATTTTCATAAGTGGTAGCCATTTTTCCATTGTCAATATTTCTTCTTTCTGTAAGAGAATGAAATAAAATGTTTGCAAACGTTTCAAACCTACTTTGAACAACAATCTGTTTTCCACTTACCGTGTTAAAGTAATTCGGGATGTAATAGAACCTTAACATATGTATCAACCTGAAGCAAGTATAAAAGAAAAACCAGTCTTCTTGATGGAATGTAAAACACACCAGCTCCAGTGGAAGATTGGGTACAACATCCCAAAACACCTCTCGAGGACTATTCAAGTACTTCTTGGCAATCTTCGCGTTCGTGAAAATGAAATTTCCGTAGTAGCTGATGAATCCTTTGTGAAATTTCATCACAAGTCTCAAATAGTACACGGGCTCCAAAGATAAGTAAACAAAATAGTAAGGTGAACTGTCTTGGGTCACGAAGACGTAGGGAATTATCAACAGGTTGATTACAGTAGACATCACCGTCATTATATCAATCATCTGAAAAGAAATTTATATGAAGGCTCTAGGATCCTTTTATTTCATATGCCAAAACTGACGAGAAAGTTTGGTGAGCGCGCAAGGTTTCGAAATTAGATATAAACAATTTTTTCTCAAGATACATGTTTTTTGCAAACAAATTCCCAGTTTTGGAAATATGATGGAGAAGAGATAGAAGCAGAAATTTCAAATTATATATGTTTGCGAAAAATATGAAATTTATTGTAAACAATATTTTTCCAAGTGTTCTTCAATATTTTTTTAAATAAAGAAAAATATGCTAACCAGAAAACCGTCTCAGAAAAGATGTTGAAATTTGCAAAAAAAAATTTACCTCAAATATCTTGTGATCTGGTTTCAAGCCAAATTTGAACCATCTATTGATAAGCATAAATTGTAAAGCTGATCTGTTTGTAATTGAAGGCAAAGATTTTTTTCTCGAAACAGGTTCCTCGTCTGATTCCATGTCATAATATTGACTAGATTGTTTCTTCAGACCTAGTAACAAAAATTAATATACGAAGCGATTAAAGAAACTGTGCTAAAACGTTTCTAGGGCAGACTTCTAAAATATCCCACCACAGTGAATAAAAATACAGAAATTCTGTGAATAAGATACGAGAAGCGTAACTAATATTATGTGGCTCAGTTACACTATTAGTCTAGAAAATGCGATATCTTGACCTGTGGACCAAAATAAATATTTTCTACAAGACTGATTCTTTGGAAACACTTACTGTATTTTTGGATAAGGTATTCAATTTTAGATGGATTTTTTTTCTGAAGTTTCCTTTTGTAGAGGAAAAGTTTAATTGTTCCAGGTAAAGGCAGTATAAAAAATATAAACTAAAATTAAGCTACATTAGAAATAAGCTGGCATTAAAAATTCATTGACGTATTTTATGAGGGTAACTCCTCTTCATCGCAATTTTATTTAAAGAATAGTCACGTACCTAGGCAGTAGCAAATACATGTTTGAGGTGTGGATCTCCACACCACCACCACCACTACTACTACTACTACTATATACTACCATTCTGTATAAGACTAACCTTAGGCAGTATAAAAAATATAAACTAAAATTAAGCTACATTAGAAATAAGCTGACGTTAAAACTTCAATGACGTATTTTATAAGGGTAACTCCTCTTCATCGCAATTTTATTTAAAGAACAGTCATGTACCTAGGCAGTAGCAAATACATGTTTGAGGTGTGGGCCTCCCCACCACCACCACCACCACCACTACTACTACTACATACTACCATTCCGTATAAGACTAACCTTTGAGGAGGTCAGTTTCTCCCGCCAAAGGAAGCAGATAATCCTTTTTCCTATCAAAATACCCTCCAATCCTCAAAAGCAGACTAGGCTGCATTTTCGCAAGGCTCAAAAACCTTTCGGTAGGCAAACCGCACGTCTCGACGTTTCTTCTGGCCGTCAAGGTCACTTTGCTTTCAGCGTATTTCCCTCTTTGCAGATTGCCGAACACTGAGGCTGCTTCAAGGGTCCTAATGTAGTCGCTGTACTCATCTTTTACCTCTATTTGGCCTGAGGTTAGGAAGAAAAGGTCCGAAACAACGTCTCGGACTCTTTGAATGATCTCGCCTAGGAAATATTTTCATTTTAATTTTCCGTTGTCGTCAAATGAAGCTTATAGATGCTTTGGGGCGTCAAGGAAGCCCGAAGTATCGTGGAGTAGAGAGTCCCCCTCGAAAACAAAATCGACGGGTCTGAGCGTTTTTCCAAAAAAAAAAAAAAAGTGAGCTGCAAGTAAATGCGTCTGTTTCGTTTTCGATGCGCCACCCTGTATAAGTATCTTGATGTAAGCAAACTTTCTGAAGTATGTAGGACAAAATTTCAATATTTGTATCTTGTTCCAAACTCAAATATAAAATTCACAAAGTCAAGTGTCGTGAGGTTTAATTCAAGGTGAGTGGCTGTCCTAAATCAGAGCGACAAACTGACGTCGCATTCAAAACACAAACACAGAAACGCAAAAATGCCAAGAATTTCGAAAAAAATGTTTGGTGTGGTGTGATTTTAAAACAAATGGTGAATGCAATATAAAAATTATTTACTGACCTTTTCTGAAGTGATATATTTTCATCTCTCTAACAAATATCTTAAAAGTCGTACTAGGAACATCGCTGAACAAGCAGGCATCTCTGAACACATATTGATAGCGATTTAAGAAAATGTCTTCAGTTAATTTTGGGCCGAGAGAAAGTTCTTCAAGGCAATGTTCATTTATTCCTTTGGTTCTTTCCCATATAAGATTGAGATGTTCATAGGCCTTTAAGAAATTGAGGATATTTCACGTTCTGTTATTGTCAGCAAATTCAAAAATGGAATTGGCAGGTTATGTACTTTGGCTCACTCTGTAGAATGCAGCGTGTTCGAAAAATAGACGGAGATATTTTAGAGGGTGATTCCTTGTTAGAACATATGCAAAAAAGGTTCTATCAGCATGATAAATTTTAATTTCTTTTTTAAATATCTTAAAAAATATTTTTTTGATTGTGTTGACATTTGGCAATATTATTTGTTGTTTTAAGAGGCTAATTTTGGGAAACGTAATTAGTATATCATAATCATTTACCCTTCTTCTGAAGCTTTTCCTTACATTCCTCTTTTCCAAAAATTTCATCAACTTTTCAGCTTGACTTCTGAACTTAAAAGTGTTTCTACCATTTTCCAATATCAAAGCTGCGATTATTGCAGAGAAAATGGAAAATATCACGAATCCCAATAATATTGTCAAAAACATTGGGACTGTAGACCAAGCTTCGAAATCAGTAAAACCTGTATTCGACAGCAAATGTGTACCGATTTGGAACGAAATCAAATATTTCTTGAAATGACCTGAAAAATGTAATGCTTCGTCAAAACTAGCTTCGCATCCCACTTTCGTTTAGAATTTGCCTTTCCAAATTAGTTTTGTGTCAAATTTACTAAACCGATAAACTGAACTTACTACTGTTAGAAAATAGTTGACAATTCATCTCATCATCAATCCCAGTTTTTGAACTGTCAGTGATATCTTTTGAGCAAAGCGTGTTCATGACAAAACAAGCTAAAAGATGTACAACAAACAAAATCAGCGTCAACATTTTGATGATCTTCAAAGAAGCTCGTGGTCTGAGTCTATCACTTTCAAAATAGGCGACGCAACTAATCACCCTGTGTACTTGCACCAATTTCAGTATTCTCCAATATTTGCGATATCGTGTAGATGTAGCGTACGCAATAGATTCCCATGGCAGGAGTGCCACAAGGTCCAAAACGAAGCTGTGTGTCAGATAATACCTGAAAAATATGGAAAGTTTACTGCGGAATAAGATTACACAAGTGAAGGGATTGTGGCATTTAAGTGAAAAACTACATTTCCATCTGGAAGCACCCGTAGCATAGGTATGAAATTTTTAAATAACCAAGATATCCAAGTATCTTAGCCAAAATAGCTGTAGACTTAAATTCCAATACGGGTACAACGGATGTTTACTTGATGCAAAGTACAAAGATGGTTCTGGACTTGACTCAGATTAGAAAGTGAAGAACAGACGCTATCCTCCGACTGATAGCAGTTCTGACAGTGTCTCTGAACGGGTATCTCAGGCGGGTAACTGAATTAGTGTCTTATGATTTTACTGCCGTTATGCTATATGTAACTTATGCTTTTGTTACTGATAACTAGTTTTTGTATTAGTTTCACAATACCACTAGATAATCATTTACAAACATGTAATTATTAGAATATATCTTTATCCTTATTGATAAGGACTATTCGTAGACCGCAAATAACTTTAATACGTGTCAATAATCTGTAATATTGATAATAGTGGTTCATGCCCTTCTTGACGAAACAAATTGTATGGCTGGATAATACGTACTAAAACATGATGAACATGATATTTGAGAAGATATTCTCACTAGTATTAGTGCGTTTTCTTTTGAATACTTGGAATCTTTTTTGCGTTATCGATTATAAATACATGATAATTTTAGTATTGCATCGAATTTTTTGTATATTATTATAAGGTTATCACTTTAGAAGAATTAACAATAGACGAATTGAAAGGATCTAAATAACTTTAGACTTAATCGTTGTAAATGCGTTTGTAATAAAGGGACTTTTTTATTGGAACAAATTGGTTTCAAATAATACATTTGTGCATCAGTGATATATATTAATTAATTATAACGAAACTAATAACAAATTACGTGCTAAGACTCTATACAAACTATTTGTTTGTCAACCGTCTCTAAGGTTATATATTATCATATGCTCCGTCGCAGAAGATTCAATTGCATCACCTTTGGAATGTACCCTGTACTTCGTAGTTGCTCATAATTTGAGTTATAAGAGTCAATCTAATTTTTCGAAATTCGTACATATACGTCGCACAAGCAAATTATGTAGATGGGTACCTTGCCGTATATGCTGGATGTGACCTGAAATATCCCGTCTCATAAACTGCAACGTGTAGATTTATATAAATGTCCAAATACAGCGACAGCTGACAGATCCATATGATCCAATGCAATTTTTCTTCGTATGTTGTGATAGCTAGAGCAATCGGTTGCAGAATGCACACGATAGTGATCGAAACGCATCTTACGATGCACCACATTTTGAATAAAAGCCCATGCGGATTCACGGAGACGGGCAGAAGCAACCAGGCAAGGAACCAAAATGAACCCCAGTTTTGCTTGTAGATTTTCCAGTAGCCAGTAGCGATTCTTGAAAGGTTTATCACGGATTTCCTATGAAATATGTTATTTTACGTTAGTAGAAAAAATAAGCGAACCTTACAGGGTGTCTCAAGGTCACCTACTACAATATTTTTACAGCATAGTTTTCTTATGCGTAGAAAATAATCACTCATTTAGTTCTTCAAGATCAGGCTAGCCCCAAAGTAATATTGCAAATTTTTTACACTCTATAATAAACGTATCATGCTCTATGTAAAACTGTATACTTATTTGAGTAAGAATCTCACTCAAGAAGAATATAATCTCTATAAGGATAACCCTCCAGATGTCTTCCTTTATCAAGGTTCTCCACAAGCAGTCTCATATCTGATCTATCGCGTACATACTCAACTGCATCTATTTCCTTAGAAAAAGTCTTCAACACCTGCAAAGACTTTCAGCTTAAGATTTCACTAAAAATCAACCTTTATAATATAGACAATTTTGCATTAGTTATTTTGTTTATTTGGAATAAAAACAGCATATTTTCTCTAAAGCTGATCATATGCAAGTTGAAAAACTAATATACCTAAAAACGCAAGGATTCGTTCTTCACATCTATAAAATGCGATCTAATAACTCAACTCAAGTGAATGCATACAGGGTATTCAATTCTATGCTATGGTTTAGTACCTTGTATAAATCGCTGTACTCAATCATTAACAGATCACAATCAGTTGCTGCGATAACAGTCTGTTTCTTCGGAATACCAAAAATCGTTTCCAGAGTGCCAAAATCGCAAACAGCTTCCACGATTTTCTCAAACGTATCCTCACAGTTGTATACCTCGCAACAACCGTTGATTAAAACGAAAAATTGCCTTGTGACGTCACCATAGTAGTATACTATTTCCGATTTTGGGATTCGAATTATTTTGCTGGACTTCATCATTAGCTGAAAAACCAAGTATCTCTATACGGAGTTTTTCAAACTCGACTCTCACCTTCGGGATCTCGGAAACCCTGATAAAATATGATTTGCCATCAGTTATCAAATAGTTTGAAAATGCTTGACCCAAGTCGCGCATTAATATGAGTATTTCAAGTCAGGTCATCACGCTATTTGCCTTGATGAATCCCAGCTGATAGCTGAGGAATTATCCAGCAAATGAAACAGTCGTCATATTTTTAAAGGCAAGAATTACGAGTATAAATGTGATAGCACTTACTGTCAAACAATATAGATCAACTGCCTTGAACAAAGCTATATGCGACAAACTGTCTCCAGTTCTTGAAGAATGTAGCAATAGCCTTAAATGTTTTGGGCAAGTTTCAGACATAAAATTTTCACTGCTCAGTGTGTAGTGATATGAGTCTGAAGTCATATATTGCTTTACTCTTTCTGACGAAGATCTTGTGATAGAGTATATTTCATCCAGTCTGGAAAAAAATCGTTTACAGAAAAGGCTATGCACAAAATAATTTAAATAATAAATCAGAATTGAACTGAAGAATGCTATACTTTGTTGAAATAAGTTTGAATCAGTCTTATTTGACATCTTATCTAGGGTACCAGCATTTCTTTTTCGGTTTGTCTATATTTTTGACACGAATTCGAAGCTTCTATTTTGTTTACCTTTTGAGTTTGAAATCCAAATATCTCCACCCATCGGTAGCATAAGCCATAAAGACATGAGATACAATCTGGGCCAAGAAGTAGCTCCTAACCAACAATGCGCAAATAGTAAGCAATGTGAACAATACAACTACATCGCTTGTTTTGGGAAATATCATACAATTTCCAGTACGGAAGAAATAAATCGTCACATAATAGAACATCAATGAGAAATGGTTGACTTGAGCTACGCCATTTCTGCTTAGTTCAAATAGTTTGTGCTGAAAAATAAACACCGGATCAAACAATATTTTAGATTCATTGAAGCTTGGCGTTTACATCTGGATTCGACGTCTACATTTCTTTTAAAGATCAACCTCAACCTTTTGACTGTACGTGGTAAGTATACTTACCAGGAACCAAGAGTTCACGTAACATATCTCATAAAAACATGCATACAAATACAGGATGCAACAATAATAGTAAATAAACAAGGTTATGCAGAAAACACTTTTAATTAACCAGGCTTTCTGAAAGAAAAAAGATGAAAATGATTTTGTAAGGATACTAAGGGTAATTATATTTACCCATGAGCAATCATGTTTAATAATATAGCTCAGGTGATGCAGTCTCAACAAACGATTGAGCTGAAGCACATCATAATATCTGTCTCTGTCTATTATGTTTTCGAAGAAATTGCACCAAACCTCTAAAAATATCATTTATATTAAAACATACATTGATTTTTCAACTAACTAAAAAGCATATGCGTACAGTTAATAGTATTGTACACGAATACCTATTGGAAGGGTTGAAAAAACATCTAAATTAACTCTCCAGTCGTCCATTCGTTCATTAACAATATCTCTCAATTTTGTTTGCTCCTAAAAAGACCACTGGTTACGCTACGTTTATATACATTATATTTTGACATTTACCCTTATGTTTTTCATAGTATAACACTTCACAATAAGGTTTGTTACACAAAAGAAGTCAGAGATTCTGACAAAGACACTTAGCCAGTAAGGTACGGTTTTGACAAAGGTGACGTAGTATGGGTAAATTATACATAAAATAATTTGCAATAGACTGTGGGCTACTCTCCAAACTTCCATCTGAAAAATAACAATCATAAGGACAGATCAATCACAAGTAGTAATATTTATCAAGCTTTCTAAGTCCAAAATATTCGGTCATCTTTGACGAGATGTATTTTGGTGGAAAATGGTCGTATCTAGACTATAAAAACGCCATTTGGAAGCCGGAAGATTCTAGTTTTTCAAAATCAGCAGCTACGATCCTCATGCAATTCTAAACGATAGCCAAGAAAAATTTTTGTAAAATGTTTGCCTTCTTTTTAGTCTATAGGTTTGAAAATCATATGTATCAGATACCCCGCTTATTCAGCTTGAATATCCTGTTTTTAAAATTTCGTCACGACCATTTCTCATCACCTAACACCCGCCAGTGTCAAATGCCGCTTAGTACTGTTATATTTTTTTAAAAATCGCCATGTACACAAAAAAACATAAATAATTACCATAATACATTCATCGTGGAACATCCAAGCCAACGTATTTGACAGATTTCTCTTGGACAACTTATATAGGCTTAGATGAACGTTTGGTATACTGGCATTTCCCTGCACGTGACCCTGAAAGTCATGTATACGTATACCATTTATTTGTATTTTCAGACGTTTCAGATTATATCTCATCCTTTTCTCATTTTGCATTTTTACATTGTCGATACGATCTTTTAACGTTCGCTGAATATTGTGAAGCTCTTCGGGGTAGTCCAACATTACCGAGACAAAGTCAGATTTTTCCAAAGTGAGTAATTTTGTGTTGGTCAAAGCTCGTACGGTTGCTTTGGCGGGTACATTGAAGATTAGGGCTATTTCCCCTGAAACATAACATAATTGTACCGCATCACCCCATTTCACAGTGTCCAAGAAAGTTAGGGAGCATACACCATATTTACAAGATCCAACAGCCCTATTCCAATTTGGGGAAAGATCCAAATCGCTGTCTGAGCGTTTTTCCCAAAAAAAAAAAAAACTGAGCTGCCAGTAAATGCGTCTGTTTCGTTTTCGATGCGCCACCCTGTATGTATATGAAAAGACGGCTATTTCTCGTGTCCTTTTCTTCATTTCAAAACGTACCAAGAATACTGCCACTGGCCAAAGACATAACAGGACTTTCGCCATCTTCATGATGTAAAATTTCCAAAATTCCGTCCTCGATACAAACCATACCATTTTTGACCACGTATTGATAATATGCACATTCTCCACTTTGCAAAGTTATCATTTTTATAGGCAATTTTCTTTGAACCATTGTGGGAAGATCCTTCAGAATCAAACTACGGTTCAAGAGACCGCAACTCAGGTCATAGAAAACGTCCATTTGCAGAGATTCGGGAATCATATGTAACAGCGACTGTTCGAGATAGCCTCGTTCTTTCTGCCAAAGTGACTTGTAATACTTTCTAATCTTGATACGCATGTTTTTGTCAGTATGCTTCAAGAATCTGTTGAGATCTTCAATCTACAAAAAAGTTCTAGCTTTAAAAACTAGCTTTGCATATACGTATAGGTGTTCCTGCTATCTGGCTTCAGCCACTGATAAAGGCTTTACTAGATTCACTCAAAAGATACGTCATGTATTCGTTTTTTGAGAGTGTAAGGGTATTTTTGGACCAACTCTTGTAGATTTTTAGCATCAGATTTACCTTTTTACAATCTTCGACTCGATTGTAGTTGGAATATATTGAGAACCAAGCGATGCTGCAGATCAGTGTTATACAGAAAAAATGTCCAGCTAATGTGATGGTTATAAAGTAATATAGTTCGCTTCTGGTAGATAGATGTTGCTCTTGTAGTCCGGCGTTAAATAGTATCAACGTTGACATATGTGTGAGAAACAGGTGCGAATTTCCAAGGTATTCAACGGTATGTTCGTCTTCGCTATTTTTTGAATGCTGAAACTATTCGATAAATACTCTTTGAATATTCAGCGTTCCCAAAATATTGCAAGAAGTGAGGTGGAAGGCGGAAAAATTCCGAGAACGCCACAAAATTACCCCGAAAATTTGGCAACAATGCGTTTTTTCGAAAAAGGTTACTTTAAAAGTTTCATGAGCTCGTTAAGAAGAATTTATCTATGTCCTCAAGAGCGACCAAGATTATGACCTCGGAAGTCAACTTTATAAATTCGAATAACAAACGCCATTTTTCACAGCAGAAAAGTACACAACATCGCGGGAAAATCATGCAGCGTGTTTGTATTGGAAGACAATTAAACACAAGCTTCAGGGAATTAAAAAAAGAGAGAAATGAGACCTTTGGTAGATATTCAAATACTGATCTGTCCATTTACGAACACGTAACCTTGAAACCTCTATAAGGATCTTTCTTATATACTTGTAGAAACCTTGCTTTATAATATATTTAATATAATTAATAAGAACTAATACACATACATTACTATACCATTGGTTGTTGAATGAATAATTTGTCGCATAATTTTCGGTGTTGCATAAAAAAGGTTGAAGATATACTCAAATACCTTGTACATACCTCATGCAAGAAATTCTGAACATCCTCATCATCAAGACTGAACCAAGCCAAATTGGTTTGATAGATCAGCAAGCACATCAGTATCGCTGCTTCAGCGATACACCAACCCAGGCTGTTCTTGAAAACTGAATTTTGCTTCTTCCGAAAGTACACGACGTGTCTCAGTCTCAAAACGCCAAGCAGTCTGAACAATAATGTGAATCTTGTGTAAGTCTCGTTGAAGAACGGCGTCAGAACCATCACAAAGGGTACGAGAGATAAAGAATCAGCTACCAAGCAAAGCATTGAAGTATCAACCACTTCTGTTAGGTTTTTCCTAGCGTTTTTTGAGGAGCGGTGAGTGTTCAACAGTACAAAATGCAGTAGGTACGAGACATCAAATATCACGAAGAATGGTAGGTAGTCCATGTAAGAGTTGGATAGAACTGTAAGTGCTACAGTCACCAACAAGTAGTTCAGGATAGATGTTGTCACGATGAAAATCTGTAAGAGAGTATGTAATTATGCAGGGTGATCCAAAAAATGTAGAAATATTTGTAGGTTATAAGATAGACCAAAATATAACACGAAAGGTTCCGACTAACATGGGTCCCACTTTGTTCATAACGCTTATCAATGACATCTTCAAATATAACACTCAGCCACTAGTGCTATATGCTGATGACATTACGTCTATCTGCAGAGGAAGCTAACAAAAACATTAGCCAAGAAACTGCAATGGACGTTGAATACATTGGAGTCTGGTTCTATGCAAGACAAAGACAAAGCCCAAACAAGTTATTTCTCATTTGGGTATCATGGTAACAAATCTACGTAAAATCTATTGACTGTCGCTTGAATTAGGAAGAGCACATCAATAACTTGACCACCAAACCAAGTAAAAGTTTCTTTGCCCGTCGCAGGCTTCTAGAGTTTCGGAGTATGTAAAACCTCAACACTCAAATTCTGTTCCTTGGTTATTATTAAATATATCTTAGTTCGAGAATAGTCTGTCAACGGAGTATCTATTTAAAGAACCAGAAAGAGCAAATGGTATTCTGGGAATCTTACCACTGCACCAAGTAATAGGTTGTGAATTAGTTTCGGAAACATCTATATAGGCATACCGAACCAAGGCCAACTGCAGAGAGATCGAGAGAGCTGCTGAAGCTGGCCTGAAGCGACGAGCAAGCGGTTCGACTTTGTGCGAAGGGAGAATTTTACCAGCCGTCGCGCAACGACCGACGCACACTGCAACAGCGCAATTGTGCACCAGTTACGGTTATTTTAGCAGATTTGCTACTTTTCTTGCAGTCAAGGATGCGGGGGCTGGCCGAAATGAAATTTAAACAAGTAAAAAAATGTTCCTAAGAATATAGGTCCAAAAAATTTATAAGCATTTGAAACGATGATTATTGTCTGAGATAACAGCTGATAGGATAAAGCAATCTCATCAAAAACTGCTGAATTTGCTAGCGGTCTACGGGTCGTCGTAGAGTTAGGACTGTTTTAAAAAATATTCCTAGAATATATTTTCCATGCCTGCTGGCGAGGAAGTATTGTAATCGCGACAAATTTCGAAAATGAGCTATTTGAATGAAATTTTCACACTAGTATGTCAAGGGAAAAAAGCTCTGTAGTTTTTAAAAACAGTCCATTAGCGGCGGCGCTAGGGCCAAAGAAACGGAAAAATAGGCGAATTCGCCTAGTATATCCTAAAATATTTGTATAGTACTGGCATTTTTTATATTAGAAGTATATGCATAAAATAGGCTTACATTCCATGCTGTCGAGTTAGGGAGGTTTAATAAAACACGAGAACATTCTCTCCAAGAAGAGGCGGTAGATGCACCGATTTCTTCATTCATTTTCCCTTGAACCACATTTCAAAAAATCTCAATTATAATTTGGCATCTGAATTTGAAGTTGAAATAAAGACAACCTGAAGTGCCAAAAGCTTTTGTCGTTGCCTACTATTTCAAAAACACTAACACCTGTCACAAGAAGAGTCAATGTCATGTCAGTGTCATCGAAGACTTGAACATTGCAAAGCCTCTGAAGATGTCATCAGCAAACCTTCAACATAATCTAAATTTAGTTTCACTGCAGAGAAATCACTATTTTTGCATTGTTCTATCTCTAAGACGATTAGTTGAAATCTATAGTTAGTGCCATCAGTGTCTACTGATGTACTTTTTGGTAAACGTAATTGCAATTAACACGGTGGTCAACGGTAAGCCGTGCTTTTTAACTTATTTTATATTTAAGCTCAATGCCATATCGAGAAAACTAATCGGAATCGTTTGTTACGTCCAGAGTTTAATTTTTGAATACCTTACTGTTTATAAAATGTAATTTTCTATGATATTCTTCGATTTTGTTACTCGACTAAATTTAAAATTGGAGTCAGTTAAGTTATTAACAAAATCTACATTTGGATTCGGTTCAATAACAACAACTCCCTATTTTTTATCGTCCCATCACTACTTATTAGGTCGTTCAGTTACAAAATGGATCAATAGATGGCGCCACCAGTATTTTCTGTTGAGTTTTTGAATAAGAGGTGGCAGCGTATATTCTGTTTCTCTGTATTAATGTTGATTGGATTACAATTGTATTGCGTTCAATGTTCGCGATACAGTTTAGCTAAAAATGTTGTCCTTGATATATTCATTTTCAACTTTGAAACCTTGAACCTTCTCAAAAGCGGACACTGGTATGCGTCTTGTCACAGTTTCCTTCAGTCAGATACTAATTAGTTGAATTTTTTGCTAATAGATGTCGCCTAGCGCATCGCTTTTCATATTTATTGGAACATAAATCAGTGAGCCGATTTTGACCAGTCAGATTTAGCCGAAGATGATTTCAATAGGCGAGTTGGATTTTGTCTACAAATGACCACAGCGATTAGTGATAACACCATTCATGTAAAGAATATCTGCTACAGTGATGAATACACATTTTATCTAAATTGATTTGTTAATAGGCATAACTGTTGGTGTTGGAGCAATAAAAATCCTTACGCTTTTGTAGGAGGGCATATCCAGTACCCCCAAAAATTAATGTATGGTCAGGCATTTTAGGAAACAAAGTGATTGGGCCATTGTTTATTAATAGAAATCTGAATGGAGACACTTATTTGGATATGTGAAATCCCTTATGAACAGTTAAATACTCAAAACTTTGTAAGAGTTTCTACTTCTACCTTTTCTGATCGTCGCATCTCTGTTTACTACCAGAACGTACGCGGTATGAACTCTTAAGTGTAAAGAATTCTTTGTAAATGTCGCTATGTCTGACTATGATATCATCTGTTGTACTGAAACTTGGCTGCAGTCTGCAGTACTTAGTTCTGAATTATTTACTGACAAATATGTTGAATTTAGAGCGGACAGAAATTTTTTTTCTGCGATGGGGTGTTCTAGAGGTGGTGGTGTCTTAATTGGTATTCGTAATCAACTTGCTGCATCAGAGGTAAATATGACTTTTATCAGAGACGATATTCCCAGTATTGACATAATTGGAATCAAACTTAGATATAAAAATGAAATGACGTCTCCGCGATTTTTCTTTTAATCAGTGGTTTTCGACAAATGCGTGGTGGCAGGTTTTCAAATGAACACCCAGCATAATAACACAAATTAAATGTTTCAAATTGATTGTATTTTAACGGCTTTTATTGTGTTTTAATGTAACACCTGTGGTTTTCCTAACAATAAATAACCTTTTACTAACGGTTATTTATTACAGCGTGTTTTAGTGTTTTATAGTGTTTACACATATATTTTAGTGCGTTATAGTATTTTCCTCTGTTTTTTTCGTTTTTCCTTATTTGTTGTAAAATATAGGCTCCAACTGACAGATTTCAGAAAATACTTTTTTCCGTTAACGGTTTCCCGATATTTTGCAGTTTGCTATTTCAAAACATTTGAATCTGTTGGGATTCAAACATTGATTTTCATTACCAAAAATTTTAAATTTGTTACGGTAGAGGCCGGGAGGTATTTTTAAATGGATTCTTCTATAACGTTATAGGAAGTAGGAAGTCTATGCTGAAGTAGGAAGTAAAACGAATCTGTCCTTCGCTTATCCAGTATAAGCTTAAAAACAGATAGAGATCATTAATAAACTTGTGGAAAAAGCAGATGCGTGCGTATGTTGGTTCGGTTGTTTCTTTTTTGATAACAACGCAACGTCAGGATGAAGAGAACATATCGATCCGCATCAATCTTTCAGCATTTGGAGGCGACACTACATAACTCACCAGTTATCTGCTTTTGTGAATGGAGAAGATAGAGTCGAAAGACATATTTGGCTATTTTTGCCGGTTGGCCATTACCTCAAAGTTGCACATTTACCGTTGGTAAGGGTATGGGCACATGTATAAACGTTGCATAAAAAGCAGAATAAGTGGTGGAGGTTTGAGACATGATATACGTTTGAAAAACAATACAGTGGTAAGTACAGCGTGTGAACCCAGCGATCCCGCCCGCGACATCTAGCGGACGATTGCACGACTGCACGACCATGGATCCTACTTTACTCGCGGGATGAACAGAGAAGTAGCCTGCCGCCATATGTTGTCATAAGAGCAGTGTTGCCGATCGGCGGAATAAGTTCTGATTTGCGAAACTTTTTGGATCGTGGCAGAACTTTTTGGGAACCTAAATTTCGGAGGAACTATCCGGAACTTTTTGGAAAAAAGGGTTTATTTTCAGAGTTTTCCAATATTTGTTGAAAGGAACACCGGCAATTCCGTAAAGATAGCCTGACAGGGAACAGTTTCGATTTGAAACTAAAACCGTTCACCGCCTGAGAATTCTCCCTGTTTCACTTTGTGTCAGGTTGAACGACTGAGATGGATAATACTCTGGGTGACTTGGCATCAATAAACTCGTGGCAATTTTATTAAATAGCTAAAAAATTAAAAAAAAAACATATCACAAGCCATCTATTTATCTTTTTGTCTAATTATGCGAGCGGCAAAAGGCGAACTGTAAATCAGTTTGTTTAATTTTTTTTTCATGAAATATTTTAGGTTTCCATTTCAACTAGCAGTGTGCGTATATTTTTTGTTATTGTTTGACGGATTGTATTGTCACTTCTGTTAAACTTTACTCTCATCAGTGGACTCTATATTGTGTGTACTCTACACAGAGTCAACTAAGCCAAGGCAAGTGGAAATATTCGACAGCACCGCGCGAGGAACGCGTAAATTACGGTTCTAGTACATTTAGCATAAATTATGTCACAAACTTGGCCTTAACATTCAACAGAGCATACAAAAGTACAACAAATGAACAGTGGTTAAAACCTGAAATCTAGCAATAATTAATAAGACTCGTTTTTACCTGCAAACCAAAGAAATGGAAACTAATGTCTATTCGATAGGATGGCTATCAACAACAGGTTATGTATGTATATTACTACGTTTATAATGAGAAGAATAATAATAATATCTTTATTTCCATGAGACTCCATAACACAGTGTTGGAATTGTCAAACATCACAAGCTAGTAAAATAGTGCAACCACCTTTAAAAAAATAGTACTTAAGGAACAATCTAATATGTATCGCGTACTTAAGTAATCATTCAATCAATATAGAGGATGGTATACCAGAAATTCCGTGACCTTTCTCTTAAAAAGTGTTACCGATTGGATACTGTTTATATATTCTGGTAATTCGTTATATAACCTGAATAACATAATCGTGGAACTTTTTGAAGTCAACGACAACGGGTGAGCTGCAGTGGTTAGCTGAAATAATGGCCTTAAATGCTCTATGTCGAGGATTGAATTTGGATTATTCTCCAACTTCGGCCCTTAAATCACAACATAAACGCCTAGGATGACCCTCGAAGGGTGGAATGAGCCAATCCGATTTGTTTGCGGTTTAGATTATCTTTGGGGTTGGATTCGTCCAACATAAACACCGATTACGTATGTCGTCAGTCGCCAACTTCAACGCAGTTTGACATTGACGTGTAATTTCAAATTTGGCGGTTGGCTAACTGTTTACATGGGAGTTCCAGGATAATTTTCGTTTATTGTAAGTTCCAGTGAAATATGAAGCTAAATAAAGAACAAGTACGGTGTATTTTTTTATTGTGACAATATTGAGAATAGCGTTGACAGTTATGACACCTTACACATTTGAAGTTAGCTGCATTTTTCGGGGAGGTTTATGTTGGACAATCGATACAATTTTTATTACGACATACACCCTTTACGAGATAAACCATCTAAAATTCAATTGCTTAAAGTTAATGATATCGAGTCCAGGCGGAATATATTAATCTTAAACTCTCATTCCTCTATATTCTCTAGTATGAATGCCGATTAACAATACTATATTATAGCTATAAAAGCAGGACGCGAGGCATTCGTAATGTCTGGAGTTGCCAAATGGATGTTTTGGCATGGAAACAAATGTCTGAGTGCGCTGCTGTATCTTTGTTATTTCTGCCGCTCGTTCTGCGGAGATTTATAAATCTTCAAGAACGCATCGGCATTAGGCAGTTTTTTATGTTCTTGAAATATTTGCATTACAAGAGCATCTCGTTCCTGGATCTTTAAATGTTATATATGGAATATCACCGAAAATTGGAAACAGACAACATACCATTTATTGACAAAAATATTTACATCTTTCGCTAACTGGTGTGAACACGGAAAGTTAAGACAATAAGCGCCGTTGATTATAGTGAAAACTCCGCCGGCTTCTATCGAACTTTAGAGAAGGTGGCTGTGAAGTTGTTTGAAAAGGAACCTGAACGGCGCTCCCGCGAACTTTTGCTGAGCATAAATTCGCAAAAACAAAACTGACACGACCGCTGCAAAAGATCCTCCCACCACATCGAGCACAGTCAAATATGTTGGTGTTGGTCTGGAGATGCCAGCGCTCTAAATAACGATTGTTTAGACCAGACGGGCTACTGGCGAACTTCACCAATTAATTTATCATCAGAACACAAGCTATACCGTAAACTTTGGTACGGTTTTTCAAGTTTTTCTTTAATTAAACATATTCTTGCTAAAAAAACTGGGCTTTGACTACTGAAGGGTAATGTACCAACACTCCCAAGTATACAATAGCACAAAAACATCATTGATTTATTTTGTAAGTTGCCATATTTGGCCTTAAATGTGTCCCAATGTTACCCCCTCCATTTGGGGTAACTTTGGTACATTGGCTTTTTATATGCATATTTCAACGTCATGGACCAATGTCCTAAAGATAGACATTGCTGAACCAAAGAAAAATGAAATGGCAAGCAAAAAACACATTTTTGCTATTTTTTATTTATAGTAGGGGGCAAAAGAACAGGATTAAAGTCTTTTAAGGAGCTTGTATTGCTAGATAAGTACATACAAAGAAGTTTTAATATACTAAGTGACATATAAATCCGATCACCCAGTTTAAATGGTTTTATTTTAATAAAATTTTGTATAAGTACTTAATGAAGCATAATAAGTAAATGAAAAAAATTTCAAAATAATTGCACTGCTTTAAAGCCCTTTGACCTTTAATAATGTGTGGATGCACCCTGATGTGCTACGCATTCTCCAACGCGCCTAGGCATGCTTCTGATCAGATGGTCAATGTCCTCCTGTGCTATCTCATTCCAGGCAACCACCAACTCCTCTCGAAGTGCTTCTAGAGTCTGAGGAGGACGTTGCAAATTGAGCAATCTCCTACCCATCATATCCCACACGTGCTCAATTGGGGATAAGTCGGGAGATCTTGGTGGCCATGGTAACAATGTGACATCATTATGTTGAAAGAAGTCTATTGTGACTCTTGCAACATGTGGTCGGGCATTATCTTGTTGGAAAGTTGGATCTACCAGAGTGTCAAGATAGGATAAAACATGGGGTTCTAGAACTTCGTGGATATAACGCTGCGCGTTCATGTTACCTCTGATGAAAATTAAAGGTGACCTGGAACCGTAAGCTATAGCTCCCCAAACCATAACTCCAACAGTGTGATGAACATGTCTTTCAACAAAAAACTGTGGATTCCTCCTTTCACCACGTCGCCTTCTAACCCTGGCACGACCATCGTGCATACCTAAACAAAATCGAGACTCGTCACTAAAGACAATACTGTTCCATTCCTGATCCCAGAGTGACCGTTGTCTGCACCACTCAAGGCGATTACGTCGGTGTTCTCGAGTCAAAAGGGAGGACTCAGGGTGGCCGGTATGAAAACAAGCCAAAACTTCTCATTCGTCGGTAAACACTTCGCATGCCAATAGGTCTTCCGTGTTCTGCAAACCATTCATTTGCAATGGACCTGGTAGTGGAGAAACGGTCCCTTAAGGCCAATAATCTTAGGCGGCGATCTTCACGGTCTGTTGCTACGGCGGCGTCCAGTGCCCCTTGCTCTTTGCGTACGGCCTTCTCGAAGCCATGCCTGACAACACCTAACCACAGTGTCTACACTTCTTTGCACTCTAACTGCAATTGCCCGAAAAGAAAGTCCAGCTTCCCGAAGTCCCACTATACGGCCCCTATCAAACTCACTAAGTTGACGACGAAATCGTACAGGTCTCCGTACTCTAGGCATCGTAACCGATCGTAAAGGATGTCAAGAACCAAAATCCGTCAACGTTGATTCTTTACTGCGGTTGAAATATTCATTTTTAGAGCGTTAGTGAATTAAAAAGAAGCAATATAAAAACCGGAATGTCCAACTGATAAGGCTGAAAATTTTTTCACTTGTTATTTACAGTAAGATAAATACATTCACCAACTTTTATTAAAATAAAACCATTTAAACTGGGTGTTCGAATTTATATGTCACTTAGTATATATGCCTACAGGGTATGTTGACTGTGAATCGAATATTTATCATTGTACCTATAGTGCTGGACCGCTTTTAATAATTCTTATGAGGAATTCCTCATAATCATGAAGCTCTTGAATATCGAATTTTTTGAATCAATCACGCATATCGCTATAACAGAACACTCACACCTCAGACCTCTAAATACTGACCGTCCTTGAAAGGTAACTAACTATACTTGATATCATTAACATGAACTGCTTTTAAAAGGGATAGCGATACGTCGGAAACATTTTCCAACTACAGGTTAGAATACAATTTACTAAAATCGACCGCAAAGTGTTCCTGATACATACTCGCAAATTCAGGAAACATCTTTTACTATTAATAATTAATATAGGCTTTTGCATAATACCGATACGCTTTTGATTCCTTTTCAGTACGGATACGTGTTCAATGTGTTCAACATTTTCGTTCCTGCACATACAAATACGACGCAGTAAATTTGAACCTAGAATACCTGTGTTGTTAATGCTCCCCATGTAAAAAAATCGCATGAATTAAGATCCGGCGAACGAGGTGGCCATTGAATATACGAGCTTCTTACCTACCAATCAATCTACCATTGCGTACCAATCTCAAACGTGAGTGATGGTCAAAAGGCAATATTCTGGACAGGCTGAACGTGAACTCCCTCTTCATGTGCCGATACCTGTTCCAGTTCGGGCTTGCCGCGGTTTCTCAGCGTTTAGACTCTTAAAGGTTGGAATCTGTCAACTTGCAAACGTCTGATGATTTGGAACGCGTCGAATCGGATATCTCTCTTAATACACGCGAACACTATTTCTGCAATTAACTTCGAACAAACTAAGGGCTAACAACCTATCAGTCTGCTCGTTAAAAGAATATTCTATATTCGCGAGAAAAACGAGCAACAACGATTTAATCAAAAATCTTCTCAAACGTTAGAATTCATGACGCACAAAAATAAAATCAAACATTACTTAGTAATTTAAACTTTATAAAAATTGTGGTAAAAAAATATGTGATACTGATATAACATGCCACACTTCCGCCTACTAGATTCCTACTGAATTCTAACACTCATAATTAGAAAAAAAAAGTTTTTCTCGAAAACTATGCGAAATGGCCTGCTTTTTTTATGGGACTAAAAATGAGGTAAATAAAACGATCTCTCAAATAAAAAAATCAGAGTTGTTGGGAGAATTGGGAAAAATTCTGCTACACTCGTAATTACGTTCAAAACGGACTATCAGTTTAAACCAATATCTGAAAAAATATGTTTTATACTTCGAAGTTCAGTCATTTATTTTAACAGTGAGTAGATCTGATTAAAAGAAATGTTTTTTTCCTTTAACATTTTTGTGGTAAAATTAAAGTAACAAAGTTATAGCCCTTTAGAAGTTTGAGTACCGCCCTGTCTCAATAATAATATTATGTGCTCGTGTTTGGCAACAACGTAAATAATCCGCCTTATCGGTTCATCGCATCGGGAACAAAAAAGCGAAAGAATTTGAAACGCTGATCACGATGTTTTTATTCAGTCAATGTGTCAGTCGGTAACGCGTGAGTGAATAGTGGTGTTTGCTGCGTGGCACAAACGAAATAAAAAATGGCACATGTTTATGCGGATCGGTTTCCCAATCGAGTGCAACCAACCCCTCGTGCCTTTGTTAATGTAGTACAAAGGGCTCGTGAATCAGGTGACTTAAGACCTCACAGGGGAGGGAATGCCGGTGCTCCAAGACCTCACGATCAAATACAGGTCCGCACTGAAATGCTTGTCGGGAGGATACTTTATAAAACAAGGTAAATTTTTTTTTTATTTTTACACACATATTTTGGTTTATCATCCTTCTACAATCATTATCTGAAAATTAATGACTCAACTTCAAAGTCACCTTGTATAGAAAACTTGGACGCCCTATAACGGACAAACGCAGCACTTTTGCATAGATTTAAATCATTTTCGATCGATCAATTTTAGGTATAGTACGTGGTACTTTTATGGCAACGTGTGTATAAAAATGGTAGTATAAAATTTCAATAAAAGCTGGATTTTTTGCAGATACACAAAGGTTAATTGCTTGAAAGCGATCAATAATAAATATATACGCAAAGCTTGAGTTGGATATGGCACAAGTAACTGGTTAATATAATGCAGAGCACACTCGACTGTGGAATGAAGCGGAAAGATAAAACAAACGTAAATTATAGCAAAAACAAACTGTAATCGAGGTGCAATGTGCGCCAGTGGATGAAACAACTTTAGCAATTAAACGGTGTACTGGTTTATTACCTCGATGCGTGGTGGTATGGCCGAAGCCGATGAAACCGCGGGCGTATGCATTACTAATCGGTACATACTTCGAATAGAATATATCGTACAACTATGTTTTCATCGTCTCAATTACCATTGTCCTTTTTCCTTCGTTTGGTGGGTTACATTTTCCAGAGTTTAGCTATTACAGCTTAACTAATTATGCCCGATTTTAAGGCTTACAATGATTTTTCTGTATTTAACTTTGAAGGTTAGAAGATTAAATTTGACTTAAGTCCTTGAGTTAAATATTCAAAATCAATAAATGTCTTTCACTAATTTTGTACTAAAAACTGCCAACTTTTTATAATCGAGGGAAATCGACAGATCCGAGCGTTTTTACAAAAAAAAAACTGAGCTGGCAGTAAATGCGTCTGTTTCGTTTTCGATGCGTCACCCTCTATAATATATCATACAAAGCAGTTCTTGATCTATAGTTTTTTATAGTATCGAATGTCTTTGAAAAATCCAGTAGTGCGAACGCGGTGGTATGACCATTATCATATTGCTTGATGATATTATCTGATAGTGCAGTTGGCATTGAAGAAGAAGAATATTATTTGCTGAGAGATGTTCGCAAATTTTACGTTTAACAATTTTTTCTATTAACTCTGCCAAATCGGGAATTTGCGCAGATAAAAGATGTATGTGACTGTTTCAACTTAAGGTAACAGTTTGATCAAAGAAACGTTCCAAGAATCGAAAAAGCAACCAATCTCCAGGCAGCAGTTTATCAAACGGGTGAGGAGCGTAATATAATAATGAAGGTTACTTCATTATACAGTTTACATCCATCCATGATGCTTCTATTCTACCGTTTCATTAACTTTTTTCGGCTAAATAAAGAAGGTGCTAAATGAAGGAAAAAATCGATTATACGACAAAGCGAAAGGAAAAAAAATGTACAAAAAATATCAAATTCGAGACAATATCACACTAGATTAATTATGTAAATGAGAAAGAAAGAGTAATCACATAATCATAATCAGCCTTCCCTCATTGGACCTTGACCATTCGCTTAACAGTTGTCGTTTTTTTTTTGGCAAGTAGCAAGCGGGTCCCGGCCCAGTGCCGATGTTGCCTTGAACCCGCCTGCACGGCGATATCAGGCAACCCCGTCACTCTATGCGGTGGTAGTTCTGAGTACGGCCGCACGAGACCGGAGATTGGACAATTGGCCTGCTGCCGTCCTTCGTCTCCTTGAGACAATTCCAAGTGAAGTGTCGTTCGCATCGCCATTGCAAAGCACCAGCAGACCCTGCTCTGCTTTCCACACGGACAGTCTTTGAGCTTTTCGCGGATGTCACGCGGTCCCCGTCGTGTTGATAACCATTCTTCTGCAGCCGCGCTCGCGAGTGACCCACAACTGCACTTCAAGACTGTATTTAAGGTAAATTATATTATTTTTTAGGTGCAGGTTGAAGATATTCCATAAGCTTAGCTGATACACACTTGGTGCTCTTTAAATAAACGTATAAATCAAAATCCTCAAATCCTATCATTTAAAGGTTTTGAGGTTTCCGGCCAATTTTGGCTTATACATTTTGCGAGAAAGCTATCATGATTTATTAATTTAAACGTATTGGTCTTTAAAAAACTGAAACCAATACTTTTATTTCTCTAGGAATGTTGGACTTAACAGTTATACTATTTAAAAATAGTGTTAACATTGCATCTGCATCACCTGCCATCTACATAGAGAAGTATAAACACTTCAAACATTCCTTTTAAAGTTGTTTATTTCCCAATTTGTGAAATGGCACGAAAAAATAAATGAAACTTAACATGATGCTTTCGTCCGTCCGGCCAAAAAGACAGTCAACAATGGACAGCTGTTTTGTGCTTTTTGGCTACTCATCAGCATGGTCTAAGCTTGGTCTTTTGTTCCTGGAAAAAGGAACAAAAGTACAGTCTATCGAAATGAGACGATGGCAAGTAACCACATCTACTTGACATCCAGAATCGGCGGTCATTTAGTGGTACCGTGGTGGCTGGGCTACTAAACGTGAACTGAGGTCGCTAAAAGTTCCAACTACTAGACTAGACTGCGGTGTCTTATTTAGGCATAAATGATTCCACGGATATTTTAACTACCATGTGGGCTTTTTCAATGTTCCAAAATCATTTACATCTAGCAATGCAGATTATTGAAAATATTCACATTCGGCACATTATTTTTTAAGTGAAACATTTATAAATTCTTTGGTGATTACTAATTAACAATGTGCGATATACAGGGTGCCGCATCGAAAACGAAACAGACGCATTTTTTTTTTGAAGAAACGCTCAGACCCGTCGATTTTGTTTTCGAGGGGGAGACAAGTTTGGCAAAAAATCACGTTAACACGTGCACCCCTGGGCGGGGGTGACACCAACTCTAAAATCTTAAATGGAAAGGGGGGGTCGAGTGATACCTTATTTTAAAGATCTTTCAATTCCCTTTACAATGATGTAAAATACATGATTTAAAGCTTAAATTAGATCAGATTAGTTTGTACTACTTTCAGAACAAATTTGACTAAAAGAATTTACTTAATAAGTAAATGCTTTTCTTGACTACGCTCATGGTTTGTTTATCATTTTGTTGTTGAAAATAGCTATTGAAGCGTTTTTTTGTGGCAAAAAAGTTATTTCTTGAAGAAAGATAAGGAAATATCTCGTACTTATTTTAAATAGGAACTTAGTACATAGTTTGCGCATTTTACGATACAACAATGTGTTTTGATTGTTGAACAATATTTCAAAAATAATGAACGCTTAGCGACCGCAGTTTGAAAATGCTATACAAGGTATTGTCGCGATCTTGCCTTAATTTCGCCAACTGTGAAAAGAATAATTAAAAAAATCAGGGAGACTGGACAGTGCGTGAGAGTGTTGGTGAAAACCCAATAACATTAATAATTCGACGTCGTGGACAAGAATTGCAAATATCAAGAAGCTCTTTACAGCATATACTCATAAAAGATCTGTGTCTCCACGCTTACAAAATTCAGTTAACACAACAACTGAAGCCTAATGATCATGAACAGTGAAGAGAGTTCGTGGAATGAGTTATTGAACATCAACAAGTGGATACTGATTTTTTCAGCAAAATCGTAAGCGATAAAGCACATTTTCACCTTGATGGCTTTGTTAGTCCCCAAAATTGCCGTATTTGGGGTTCGGAGAACCCAAGCGTGATTGTCGTAAAAGAAATGCATCCAGAAGGTGCGGATTTTGGCATCATTGAATCATACCTTTTTGAACACGAGGCTGGTAAATCAGTAACTGTTACTGGTGCTCGATATCGCGACAGGATAACACAGTTCTTTCTACTCAAATTGGATGTTGTGGATGTGTCCAATATGTGGTTTCCAAAACTACTATGAAATTCAAGGAGGCCGTAAAGACGTCCTATAATTGTAAGAACGACTGACGATACAGCCCTTAAGCCGTTTATGTTTTATTCCAAAGTCATCTTAGGTGTATACCTGATGTAACGTAAAAGAACTTGCCTGCTATTTTGGTTTCATGAGAAAGTTTGTAAATAACAAATTCACGTGCTTTACAGATAAATGTTTGTTGGCATAATTGTTGCTCAAATTGAAAGTCCCACATGTTGTTTTACCGATATTACTATATAGCCATCTATCGATTACAACGTGAACTACTTCAATACCTCCCGCAAGCGCGATATGGTGGATAGTTTAATCTTCTTTGCAGTTTGGACTAAAGTAGCCTATTAGGGTTAGGGCTAATGTATCCCGACTGTGCAGTATACCGTCACTCTGCTCTGTCGTTGCTGATCTATCGTGTTGATATATTCTGCGGACACCGTAAATATTTTTTTGCTTTTTAATCGAATATAATGTGGAACCAAGATCTGAATCATAATCGTAAAATTGATATCCACTCCCATTCTATTTGAAAGCAGTCTGAATATGCTAATTTCCTGTTACGGTTCTTATACAATCGTAAACAGCGTTCAATAAAAGCGCGTTCGCGTCCTTAAGAACATTCCTTGATAGTACGAGTATTATATCTAAATATACTTTCATTTTCTTCTTTTTTGTTCACTTATACGAGTACGTAAGGTGCGAAATGGGTGTTACCAGAAGTAAAGAAAGATTTTCGTGTATTAGAACTTATGATTTTATTTACTGTATCTTGATCGATCAATTTGAATTCTAGGTATGTGAGTAATCAAAGAATGGAATCAGTATCATTTCCTCATTTGAAAATATAAGCAGATGCTCAATACCAATAATTACGCTGCTATTTAATAAAAACAATAAGCGGAAGAATAAAAAACGTACATATAAATTAGATTCACTTTGCTTAGCCATTCAAGGTTGCAGTAATAGCTATGTGTTAACACCTAGCAAGAATTGTCATCTATTTGTAATCATCATTGTTAATTCTGAATAAATTGTGAGCCGACAAATGAATATGACGGGTGTACAATTAGGACTCAATTTGAAATTAAATCTTTTTCCCAAACATCTGTAATATTCTTGTATTACAGTCCCAAGGGCCTGAAACCGACTGAGCACGCGCGGTGGTACGTTGTATCAGTAAACCGGTTTTCGGTTCAAAAACTGAGGTTACAGTACACAGGATTTTGGCGGGACTCGGGGTTTCTGACATGCGCATTTGTTTTGCTGTGGGTGATTTAGGATTCGGGGCTATGGTTTTTGAACTGTGTTTGAGAGTCTGCGTCTTTTTTAGTGTTGATGCAGCCTTGACTAGTTTGTATCAATTTAAATGATATGCTCATAGAAATACCAGATTCTTATAGTTCAGGTTCAGAATCCGATTGGATCTCAGACAGCGATCCCAGTGATGATGAAAACATTGTGCACATATTGCTTCATAATAACCGAAAAAAAAAATAGCATTACATTACGTAACAGCACCTCTACGATGGAGGTGAATTAATGAAACATTTCAGAATGACTGAAGAACATCCTCAAATTTGAAACCGTTTGACACTAGTCTTTTGACAACGCATGCGCTTTGAAGGAGTTCACAATCGGGTGTCAAACCGCTGGAAATGTGAACGTTACGATCTAAATTGAGACTTTAAAAAGCATTTTAAAGATTTAAAATTACAGGTCCTGTGTCAGATTTTATTATGGTATACAGGGTTATCCAAATTAAGTGTCCACCATTAGTAACTTTGTTATTAGTGAAAATACAAAGTTGCTTGATTTAGCAAACTAGTAGCATTTTTAACGCTGGTAAAAATGAGAAATAAAAAAAAACAATTGCGTTATTTTGATTTTTTTCAGTAAAATAACATTTTTTTAAATGGAAACCCCTGTACATAATATTTTTTTCTGTTAAAGCATCAAATTTTAAACAACAAAGTTCATAATGACTTTTCCGCTAAAGTCAAAAATAAAGTCAAAATAACGATAAATATTTTTAATTATTTGCAGTATTATAATATTAAGACGGCTATGAAAACAACATGGCGTTCGCGATTTGACAGCATTAAGATAAGCGACAAATTGTTAAACTGGACATACTCGCAACTAGAAGGCTTTGGAAAACAATGATAAAATCAAATAATGTCAAACATTAGTGTAAATACTTGTTTATAAGCTTTATTGTGTCATTAATTTAAAGAAAAATGTTCTCCCATGAAGAAAAGTGTGATATGTTAGAATGCTATTTAGTGTGCAGAAAATCCCCCTTGAGAGCAAGAGAATACTACAGTGAATTATATCCCGCTCGCATTCAACCGTATGAACGATATTTTCTGAGACTTTATCGAAAATTTAGGGGCAACGAAAATGTTTTTGCTAAAACAAGGGCAAACAAAGAATTCATAATAAGCGAGGCCACGGAAATTGCAGTTATTGGATATTTTGAAGCTTATCGTGAGAATTCAATAGCAGATATTCTCAAGGACTCTAATTTCAGTTATGGTACTGTTCAAAGGATTTTAAAAAAATACAAATTGATTCCGTATAAGTACCGACCAGTTCAAACGCTTTTGGCAGGGGATCCAGAGAGAAGACTTGTTTTTTGCCATTGGTATCTTAGCTTCTGTCGCCAAAATGTAAATAACTTTCGTTACCTTTTATGGACAGATGAATCAAATTTTTCAAATTCTGGAATGTTTAATAGAAAAAACCACCATTATTGGTCAAGAGAAAATCTTTTGTTAGTACATCCAAGAGGCCCACAAGTCCGTTTCAGTTTCAACGTTTGGTGCGGTATAATTGGTTCAAAAATTGTTGGCCCGTTCTTTTACGAGTATGAGGGAACCCTAACTGGTGAAAGATATGTGGAATTTATGTCAGAAATTCTGACTAATTTCTTAGACGAATTGGATCTTATAAGTAGACATCATCTGCATTTTCAGCAAGATGGCGCACCTGCCCACAACTCCAGAGGTACTTA